TGGTGTTGAATCACCAAATCAAACAAACTTGTCATTGTAATTACTCGGGGCCATTTTAATATAAATTCAATTTCAGAATTTTGTTGGACAAGACTTCTCATGAACTGCACCCTACAGCGGAAATCGATTAAACTCGGCAGTTCAACGTGAGCAGCGTGCATCATTTTGTTTTAATTGATGATTTACTTAATCAATAATTAGAATCTTATCAAACCATAGACCTTCTCTTTCTAAGGTCGATGATCAAACCTACAACCGGTACACACATCGTCAAATGCGTGGAGCGTGTTTATCAACACCAACGACTAGTATGTATTTAGAGTAAATAACGTAAACCTTGTTTATAATAATTGACGCTACTATGTCCCTGACTTTCTTTGAGTCAGTGTGTGATAGATATGCCAAGACAAAATACGGTGTCACTTTCTAATTGTCGAACTGCGCTGATTTCCACTATAGTCCAAATCCCTTATATGGTGCTTATATGGGTAAGTGAGAGGTTCCCCGTAGATCGTACACATTTGGAATGCATCTTTTAGAGTATACTAACGCGTGATTGAACACTTACAGCACCCCATTTTGACTAAATATATACATTCTCAAATAAGGAAATGAAATCCAATATATAAGCAAAGTGAATGAGTTTTCTCACGTTGATAACAGATCGCGTTCTTGGTATTTACAAGACCCCCATCGAGTTCTTGCAAATCATCCAGAATGAGACGTAACATTCAAGCTGGGAGGTCATTATATCTACATACAGGGCAAGGGTAAAATATTATCAGACCAGGATGTAGCGAAACAAGAAAAATACATTCGTATTAAAGAAAAATCGTAAGTCAGCACACGAGTTTCTCAGATAAAAAAGTGCCACGTACTACACAGAAAATATATATATATATAATTCGAAAATGCTAACCCCAATCTGAAATAATGGTATGCTCTCAAAAGCGGTACACAGCGACGTGCCATATCACGATATAGTTTAGAAAAAGTGTCCGAATTATTTTTTTTACTCATTTTTGAGCAAGAATATCTTATCATGATAATGTTGCTGTCAAACTTAGCTTGCTCTCTTCTTTCTTTTTGTATGAATGTCATTATTTGTATGACGATTTTATCCTAAATCTATCAACCGAGTTTCTAATGTTCAATGTTTTAACATTAGTGTGAGTACATGTGTACAAAACGTGTGTTATCGAAATAGATATGGCACCAGTATCTGAGCAGCATACCAAGGGTGTCTATTACATGATATTGACATACGAGACTTTTGAGTCGACAAATAAATTGTTTCACGTTTTAGGGATTTCCCCACTTTCGTGCATGACCAATCGTCAGTCCTAAATAGTCGGTTAGATAAAAAAGTACTACAATTGATACAACTAATAATAAATGTTTTAATGAATGTTCATTTCCAATAACTAGGGCCCAATAGTATACATTTCTGTACAAAATTCTGTATATAGTTACAGATTTGGTGAATTTTTAACAATTTCGCCATTTAAAACGCAAATTGTGGGCTTGTTACCATCTAAAATGCACATGTTTCACATACACATATAAGACACCAAGTTCTATATTCCGTCTTTTTACCCATCAGAATGTTTGTTCTACCACAGGATAGAGGGACTGTGGTTCTGCTATGATTTGTAGCTTGATAAAGATTACAATTTGGAGTTCACTTTACACCATAGACTACTCGACACAAAAGTTTGGATAAAACTCCTTTGGGGAGGGCAAGAGGGTTTACGTTTAGTATTTGGCCACGATTGTTTAATTAGTGGAAATTGTTTGAAAGTAGGAGTGAATATAAGTTTATACTATATGTGAATATAAGTGTTTTGGGCCGTGAAGTTTTAGACTGAAGTGTAATTTAAATTTATAGTTTTATTTGTTTTATATTCACGAGGTTATAGTTTCAATACAACCATTTGCTTTTACGAGATTATAGTTCAAATTTGTTTTATTTTCGCGAGATTTCAATATATACTTTTATTTATATATTTCACATTTTCTTGACAATAAATGAAATAGTATTATTTATTGTTTTATGAGGTTTCTATTTCATTGACTCCCGTGTGCGAAGCATACAATTGGAGTCTTTGTGCGGTTAGTGCGTCTGTGTGTCTGTTCTACTAATATCTCAAGAACCGATTATCAGATTTTAATGAAACTTGGCACATAGATGCTGGATCCGTTTTTTATGTTTAGTTTCTATTCGAGGTTTCTATATTTAAAAAAATATTGGTAATGATTTAAATAGTTTTAATTATCATATTATTTTTATTTTCTTCGCAATATTTGTCTGTATGTTTCAATCCAATTTCTCCCTTTGATTTATTTTCTGATAACATTTACAACTCGGAAGGTTGTTCATAGACAATCAAACCAAAATATTTCATCTGAGTCAACTGTTAGCGTTTACTAACTTCCCATACATAGTATCGATGTGGTCTGGGTGTCAGCACAAGTTGTGGATGCGCCAGAAAATTGAAGTTCGGTCACTTTGGTAGTTTTTCAACATCGCCGTCTGAATATAGGAAATACGAACACAACCCTTGCAAGTAAATGAATCATCAACTGTCACTTCAAGTAGTATATATACATAGAGATAACCCGTCAATGTGTACCCCATGCCAAGTGCAATATTAAATACTCTGATTCGTATATACAGTGGTAATTCAAACAGTCGACCAAGAAAATCGCTGAACAACAGGCCTTCAATCAGTCAGTTATTTTATAAAATGTATAGAATATATAATTAGAAAAAAACACACAAATACAACTCACCATCGTTTAAGGGCACACAGAACATGAGATATAGATTTTATTTCGTTATATTTGCTGGACATTTCTGTTTCGTTGAAATGTGTGGATAATGTACATAGCAAAAACCGTGTATTTGTGTCCAAACATCCTCCCTTTATATGATCAAACCATAATATTATAGTGAATACGCGAATAAACATACGTTTGCCAAATGCCTACTGCCTCAGTTTGTGAAAAATATATCCAGATGCATGTCACGTGACACGGAAATGCGAGAGGCAACAAAAGTTTATTGAGACTACAATGAATTATTTAACGTTTAGATTCTCACATTTCGCTCGACTTGTTGCAATCATGTCAAAAAACGCAACGCAATGTTACACCCGGCCCGGTAGAAAAACCGATAATCACACGTTATGTTATGATAGTGAAAAAAGCTAATATAAGGAAAATACGAACAAAAGCTTAACAACGCCGCTAATGGCCCTTTAAGGAGTTTTAATACAACAAAGGCAACACCGGCGACCACTCGCAAATGTGCATTGGCGTCTTAAAATGATTTTTAGTGTCAACTGTACTTAAGTTTATTTTTTTCCAAAGTTGGAAAGCTGGCAATGTGTATTAAATTTCACGACAGTTTAGTTTAGGTTGTTATATTCCCCTGTATACGTTGTTAAACTCAAAATATGCCGATTGTTGCCAACACAGAGCAAACAAGATATCAATTCCATTTACCAACAAGTGTATATTATGACATCTTACATTGCCCAGATTTCTCCTTTGCTCGATTGAAAAAGTGCAACACGGTTAACTGAAACATTGCCAATCTACGAGTCGGTGTCATTGTGTGCATTATCCAGTGGTCGTCATAGTTACGTCTCTTGTGAGAATTGCTGGTGTGAACGCAATATTATGAGTTCCCATCATTTTATTGCCGGGCGTATTACACCGACGTAACTTTTTCTAGTGAGATATCAGGGGGGAATTCTTCTCCACGGGGCTCTCCACACTTGTCAGGGGGGAATCTCGTCTCGTCTCTCTATCGCGTCCCCTTGAGGTACGGGATCAGGGAAGTCACTTAAGCTTTACAGTCAAATAGACGCACACCACAAAATACGTTTCAACTCTCGTCTTAGTCAGTCTGTCGAGCACTCTATAAGACACAGCGCCCTGGGGAAAATCCCCAAGACTATCGCAAGGCTGGCCCAAGACTAGCTAAAGACTGTGCTTAGACTGCCTTAGACTCTCCAGGACTGGACTAAGACTGCGTCTGTCGTGCTGTACTCGCCAAGACCAACTCAAACTCTCTTTATTCATTTTCAAAACCTTAACCAATTACAATGCAGTAAAAAGACTCTAGGGCGTAACCTTCAATCAATCATAAAGCCAATCACACTAAGTACTGAACACGTCATATCTTTTGATTAATCGTTCACTACATTAATAACTAGGAATACCAACTGTCAGAAATAGTAGTCTGAATAACGACGGTTATCTCGTAATTTGTTCCAAATCACTGAGTCGAGTTCCGTCCAGGACCTCGCCTGCCTAAACGATGACTGACATAACACAGCATTTCGCTAGTAATCAACTAAATAAGTCGGTCAACAGATACGGGAAAAACAAATTCATGACAGAGAACACGGTATGTATACCGGTATTTGTTTCCAAACTTCCTAGAAAGGCCAGCCCTAATACGACTATGAGTACGTAGACAACAAAAACGCTTGTCCCCGCAACACACTAAGTTTTGCATGGGGTGGGGCGAGATCTGCCCACCAACCTTGCGCCAAAGGCGCGACCTTACTACAAGGGTCCGGGCATGCTCCTTAAACAAATTGAAATCTATACCCTCTGAAACGCTATTTCCTGCATTTTGAGGAGCAAATTTTGCTGACACAAAGGGTTTCAGCTTGATTTTTGAGGGGCAACGCCCTCCCTCTGCCTCCCTATGCCGCCGCCACTGACACAGTTCTAAATCCTTTTACAAAAACCGTGATCTAGATGACCTACGTGTACATCTTTTACCTGTAATACACCAAGGTCAAGCTTTGGATATATAATTAATATCGTATGGATCTTATTTCGTTATATTTTCACGAAATTGTTGTTTCCTTGAAATGACAGAGCGTTTCCAATGAAAATCATGTTCGTGATAACGGAATACCGGAACTTGGTAGTGTATATAAGGAAGCGCTTGCTAGAGAATATATCATAATTCCATCTTACACGACTGTGTCAACTGTATTGAAGAAAGGTCGAGTATCTAATTTTACCTCTTGGTAAGTTCTTCACAATAATGTTTTCTGTTTGTTTTCATTCGTGATAGATATCGTTGCAATGTATACGAATTCGGTAGGCCCTGGCTAATTGTACAAAATGAATCCTACGAAGTGAAGTTTCTGCTGTTATCGACTAATGTCATGCATGTTTTATTTTTCATAGACAATGGCCACGAGACTTTTCATCATCGCTGCTGTTGTGGTTGCCATGGCTATTGCTATGGTGAATGCCTGCACATCTTCGTCGGGACGAACCCCTGCATGGGACGTGGGCGACAATACTGAGGTGTATCCGACATTCGACCCTGCCACCAAATCAGTAGGCGTCGGTGTTACTGTCAGGTAAATAATTCGTGATTCTATCGGTCTAATCTCATTCGTAACCATGGCTATACACAAATTCAAAAGGGGCAAACAATATACTCCATGTTATCTTATTCGTGTTACGTTTTTGCACCGTAAGCAACACATTTGTCTCAATAACATCACGCAGGCACTGTCCTGTCAGCGCAGTTATTAGAGGTTTAGTTACGCGTAATGACGCGTAAGTGATTCCATGCGTCTGGTATACCCGTACACGTACTGTCAGTTTCGGCGTCTGAGTTTAGTCATAATTTTTTTCCAAATGTTAGGTGCAGGGTTGTGAGAAACTAACTGAGATGTTCCAGCTGCCATGGCGAAATTATATCATAAAAACACACAAATATTCATCATAGTCTATATTAACTATCAATATTGCATATAAGAAGAATTTAGTAGAAAAATGCGAGCACAATTGTAGAAAATTGTTTTTGAACTTACCCGTAATGATAACGTATAGAACTGCACCTATACGTGCCGTTCTTCCCGCGTATGTGTCACGTGATGATGACGGTATGTGTATTCGGCACACGTAAATTTGAATGAGAACAGGTAACTAAACCCCTTGTATAGATGGACTATTTGAATTAGTTTGGAAAACCCTAATGTGGCAGGTTTTATGGTTAACCACTTTATGTATGCTGATATCTGTATATAATGAGTCCGACCGGGCGTGTGGTTTTAAAGTATGATTTATGCGTATGTATTTTATACCACGTAAAATCCAACTTATAGCAGATAAAGATTTGCCAGTAGGCGTCGTTACAGATATATGTATATAATACCTTTAAAGCCCGATTAATGTATGTATGCAAATGAACTCCTTCAATGCAATGTATTGACATCAAAATGACCTCAATCAAGTTGTTTTTTGGGATAATTTATTTCCTACAACACAAACCAGCTCGACAAAATCGGCAATTTAATTTCATTGATCATCATTACTCATCATTCTGATTCATTTTTACTTCGGTACAATAGTCAAGATAATGTTTTGAGTATGGTTTACTGGTTGCTGATTTCTAACACATGGTTTTAAACCGGTGAACATAATTCATTTCCTGTGATTCCAAGGAGCAAACAAATTTCCACTTCTACTCGCGCTCCACGCATGCACGAGATATGGTCTCATATAAACAAATATGGCAACTTTAACTGTTTCGCAGACCAACGAGTAAAAACTGAGAGGTTACCAAGCTTCAATTATGCAATTTTGTTAGTGCTTGGAAAGTATTGAAGGAGTCGCCGCCGGTAATTAGTGCAAGTCGCGCCCAGGTCGAAACTTGTACTCGTGATAGCAGTAGAAAAGCGCATTGGATCGTGGAAAAATCAAATGTTTACCAACACAAATGTCACACATTCGCAGCGCGACGACCACCACACTTTAATTTATCATTGTTGTGATTTTGTTAAACATTTTTGTTATTGTCTGGTACTTTTACTCAAAGTGGAGAGGGACGTCACCTGCGCACGCGCGGGAATTGAGTCCCAAACCATGATAACAACACATGCTTAAGACGAAAAGGCCTATGGGTAGACGCATGTTTGTAAACAATGACACGTTATGGCTATCTAATGCGTGCGCAGGTGACGACTCCCCCGCTACAAGTCAGTGAATTATGTTATACGATTTCAAATGCCACTGACTACACTCATCGCGGCGGCTACGTAATTTACAGTTCAAATGTTGAATTTCTATTTAAATTTACAATCGCAGCAACTTTACATTATCCTATGAATACATGAATATTCTAGGCCCATCAAAGTACACGACGAAAATCAGTGGGTTTCATACATGTTAAGTATGTCGTTTGCATATCACGTGTCTGTTTCGTCACAGGTTCAAGAGAGGCGCCGCTGCCATGCCCCGTAACGCCGTCCCAGACCCAGATCAGGTGTTCAATAAATTGAATATGAACAAGAACTCTTTCATTGAAGTTCAAGAATGGAAACGTCAGAAGGGAAGCATCTTGAATTTCGCTGAGATGTTGAAAGCTATCGACATTGACGGTATGTAACATTTCTGTTGTAGTTTTTCATAGTGTATGTATAGGTAAGATTACACGAATTAGAGCGTGTTTATAACTGTATAAGCCGTGCTGTGGTCAACTTTCGACATTAACTGTTAGTTAGTTGCTTAATAATAGTTTAATGTTACCATATAAAAAATAATAATAAAACATTACCTGAATATGTGTAATTACAGTCAAAACATCCATTACTCAAATGTTATTGGATATGTGGGCTGGGTCTACGAAGTGCCTCGCCGTACCGCTTCCATGTTCGTATTGTTTCCTCAACTTGCAAGTCACAAATCAAGAGCAGCACATTTCTTTATATAGGTGTTGCGTTCACACAATCCATTTGTGTAAACCGTGAGGGCGTTTACTCGTCTGCATGCACACAGAGAGGCGTATATGAATGCACACATAAAGAATACCAAGAGTAGTAAAATATTTAGGCACGTATTTTACTGTGCTGACTAACTTATAACCGGAAATACATACCAAGTCATGGTATAGTGTGTACAGCAATTAAAACGGCTGTCAACAGGTTACTTGATATGGTAGGAATCTTTTAACCACAAAAGGGCGCTGTGCTGACCGAGGATTTAGGCCGCATTTACGACACAACGGACGGTCGACAGTCTTCAGTTCTAATTTGTTAGTAAGGCCTCCGGCCTTCGCTGAAATGTCACACACGCCATCGGGGTTTGCTGGGTTAGTATACAAATTAGGACCGAGGACTGTCGATAGTTTAAAGAAATAACTGTTATAAAAGTAAAATAATTTGTCCGTGAAAAACTGTAAAATAACATTTTTGAAATAAAATATGTAAAACTACATTGTGATAGGTGACAGAAATGTTATATTTTACAGGGGATGAACAGATCTCATTAGAAGAGTTCAAGGAGCTGGGATTGTACTACAAGACTATACAAGGGCAATAGTTTGGTAAGTTCGTTGCATGTTTATATTTTTTTATCACATAAGCTAAAATTCTTTTGGGAAGAACGATTACTAATTGACTACCAATCAGAGGTAAAAGGTTCTGCCGTCAGACATGGTAAATCTTTGTTTGTAACCTTAACGCATTCATAACCACAACCAAGTACTAATACGGATGTGCCATAGCAACCTATTATATATCGAGTATTATTTTCTCTTTTCAAAAGTATTCAGTGCCATAGAAAACTGCACATAGACTTAATTAGTTGATCAATTCATCTCATTTGTTCTCCCAGTTCTCTTGTTCATATCCAAAATCTACTTCAATATTATTTTTTTCTGTTTGTTTTTAGATCCGGAGAAGTGGACGTTGGTCTATCACATGTACTCAAGAGATTACCGTGTACTTACCGGCCGTAGCACTGCTTTAGTTTAATTATATCAACACTGCAACCTGTCATTGCCGTGACAGCGTATCATCTCGAGTTATATGGTTTCATACTATTTCGTGAAAGCACAATTCATTGTGATCTACTTTTTAAAGATTTAGCTTTGAAGTGGGTTTACAATTATAACAATTCTAAACCTCTCAATCGCCATGAGGCGAAATGACGTGCAGTAACCGACTTATATCAGGCAATTCTGGCCAGATAAGCGTGTAAAATAATGTTGTTATAATTAGCATGAATACTGTAAAACCATTTATTTTTACTGACATTTAATTCCACTATTTGGATGTTTTGATCACATTCCCTGTGTTTTAATTTCACGAATTTGTCAAGGAAACAATGGGTTTTATTATTATTTTACATGTTCGAGGAGATTCAATTTAGCGGATCTTACTTATCAGCGAAAATAGTAAAATTTAAACAGTGAAGAATTAATGCATTAACAATACATTACTCGCATTGTAATTTGCTCATGAATAATTCAACAGTTATCGCTCCACGTTGAATACATTATTGTAAGAAGATAATTTGCATTGATCATCCAAACAAGTTCAAAATAACTATGCGATGTTTACCATGTTCAAATGAATACAGCTGCATCTGTTTACAATCTAAATAAAGACAAAGATACATCACGTGAGGTTTCATTCGAATAAATGTACAGTTTGAACCATGGTCACATGACCAAAAGTGGACGAAAAAAATATTTTGTTGAACTCGTGGCATATAACTTGAAGACTTATATAAGTGCTTCCCACAAATATGTAAATGAGCTGATATGTAAATGACGATGCAATTTTAGAAGTTCTTATATAATTCAGAAAACTTGATATTTCATGTAAAATGTGGTTAATTTTGTCATTCCTAAAACGGGAATAATATGTCCCCAAAACATTTTAGTGTGACCTTTTGTTATCTCGTCATTTCTGTGTTGATGTTTTGAAATCTCATTCAAACCGCCGAAATACTAAATTTGGTGTAATACTGTTTTGTTAAACGTCATATAAAGGAAAATGCAAGCGGGAATTTATCATGTAGATAAATACTTGTGAGCATATCCTTTTTGTATGCCGTCGCTTGCCAAAAATGTCATAAAAAGAAAGTTTTATTTGCGTATGCCTATCGTGATTGTTTCTACCACTACTACTAAGTCTTAAGTAAAAGACAAACTTGAACCCTGCCCAAGACCTCCGTAATACAGTATGCTAAACAACTATATGACTGAAACAGAAAGAAGAGTTATTCAAGACAAAGTAACAACTCATCCTGCAGTCCTGTCACAAAAACATAGTATCGGTCGGCTAGTCTTCCACATATATACCTTTTTATATACCTTTCCATGCGATGGATGACAGTAAAGCATGGCGACTGGTACACCAAGATATTGATTGCATCACGTCTGTACTTCGGTGCTTCAGACACGTTTTAGGTTAGGAAGTGGGGATCGTAGTCAGGCGGTTAACTGATTTAACAGTTTGTACCATTTTAATACATCAAAACTTCACACCATTTTTATACGAATCACAGTTAAATGCATGTATACACACACACATTAAAACTAGGATTCAAACTCGCAACTATGGCAACTATGTCATCTTACCAATGTAAGCAGACGTACTCCCAATTACGCCACAATGCACTGTAAAGACGTGCAAAATCTTACTAAGAAGAACTTACTAATTTTTCCTATATAGCATTAGAATGAACCAATATTATATAAGGCCAACGATTGTATACTAGAGAATATATCTACTTAGGTTAAGTGCATTGGACTCTTTTAGGCCTGGGATGGCAGGATCTTTTTCATCTGATAGAAACTACAGGTAATTTTCCTTCCTTAGGTATTGACAAGGGAATGTTACTGTTCCCAACTGTTGGGTTTGCGACTCTCCATATTCTGTTAGAATCATGCTTGCTCCTTGAAATGTGTTTAGTTTGGGGTTTTATACGAAATAGACGTAATAGGAGTACGTTGCTCGCGGCACCCGTATCAGCCTAGCATTTTAGGTTTATTTTCTGTGTCAGTTCAGCATGTTCAATTTGCAGTGTGTACTTGTTATCTGTAGTTATAGTTCGTATTGTCTGGGGTTGTTCTTCTGTCACCTCATTTGTGTTGTACCTCATATCATGTATCTGCTGTCTATTACAGCGTTGTGTTGGTGGACAATGTTATATTTTCTTGGATAATTTGCATACTGATTGCCAGTGGTTTATTTTTCTACCCTAGCGACACTGAGATTCATACGCAGGTCAATTTTTCCGTGTAGAAATATCATGCATTTTCCTACAATTGTCTCATATTTTTGTCTGTTGTTGTGGCTTGTAGTCTGTGGCATGCTATACTTTTTGATTGTATTCACAGATTTCCAGGTTACTTGCAAGCAATATCACGTGTTTGTTGTCCCAAACTGTGGGCTACATCTATGGTATCTTGGGTGCAAGCTTCTT